GCGAGGGAGAGTGATGTTTATTTTCAGGGAAATACATCTTATTTCTCGACTCTACTAATTGTTTTTTTAAGGTTTTCCTAATATGAGCTCTTCTGATGAATTTCACTGCTATTAAATCAGTTTAATTAGCAAAATGCCCCTTATGAGGAATAGCTATTTTATTTTTGTTTGCACTTTTGTAGAAAGGTTGACAGTTAAAAAGAGCCGTGTTTTGCAGGAGCTTTTCAGGTCATTTATTTAACCTTACCACCTAAAAATAATCAGACGTTTTTTTTTCTTTTCAGATGCGAACAATGGGGAGGGAGAAGGGAAGGAGAATATCAATGAGGATCCCATGAGCGTTTTTACAAGTATCGATAAACAAACAAAACGGTTAAGCATTGAGAAAATTTACCAGAAGAAAAGTCAATTGGAGCATATTTTACTGCGGCCGGATACTTATATTGGCTCAGTTGAGCATACGGATAAATCGGTTTGGGTTCTTATCGGTTTGCTGTTTAAAATGATTTTGATTCCATCGTTATTTAAGCATATTTGCATAATTTTCAGCCTATGTGGGTCTATGACCCAGAATTGGAACGTATTGTGCAGCGTGATATTAGTTATGTTCCTGGCCTATACAAAATTTTTGACGAAATACTCGTTAACGCGGCTGATAATAAACAGAGGGATCCAAAAATGAATTTAATTAGGATAAACATTAATAAGTAAAGGATTACAGTCTTATCTGGTTTGATTTCGCTTTTGATTTCATTTACGTTTAGGGCTAAAAACGAGATAAGCGTTTTCAACAATGGAAAAGGTATACCTGTTGTCTTCCACAAAATCGAGAAAATGTATGTTCCTGAGTTGATATTCGGTACACTGTTAACGTCTTCAAACTACAACGATGATGAACGTAAAGTAACCGGTACATTTTTAACTGAGATGTGAGTCGCATAACTTTTATTTTTTTATAATATAATTGTCTGTGAGTTAGGTGGTCGAAATGGATATGGTGCGAAGCTTTGCAATATATTCAGTACTGAATTTACTGTCGAGACTTCTTCAAAGGAATATGGGAAATGCTTTAAGCAAGTATAGATATTTAACGATTTATGCTCGTTATGTAAAATAATTGTTTGGAAAGCTCTGCGGTTGCATCTCATCTTATTTAGACTTGGATAAACAACATGGCAAAAGGTGATGAGGCTCTTGTGACAAAGGCTACAGGAGAAGACTTTACTCGAATAACTTTCAAGCCTGATCTAGCCAAATTTAAAATGACAGATCTTGATGATGATATTGTTGGCTTGATATCGCGTCGTGCGTATGATGTAGCCGGTTCGTCAAGGGGAGTGAAAGTGTATTTGAACGGCAAAGCACTCCCGGTAGGAATTAACATTATGTGGCGCAGCGGTTTTTCTGTGTAATTCTTGCTACTGTTCTGAAGGCTTTTTAAGGCTAATATGTGTGTTGCTCATTAGGTGCAAGGTTTCAAGCAGTATGTTGAGCAGTATGCGAAACACAATCTTGATAGTCATGGAGAGCCGTACAAGGTTGCATATGAACAGGCAAACGATCGTTGGGAAGTGGCTCTTACAGTATCTGAAAAGGGTTTCCAACAAGTCTCCTTTGTTAATAGTATAGCTACCACCAAGGTAGGTTTATATCTACTGATTTTTTCTCAGCTGCTTTTTGATCACAAGCTTCCATCTATCATTTTACAGGGAGGCAGACATGTCGATTATGTAGCCGACCAAATTACAGCGAAACTGATAGAGACTATTAAGAAGAAAATTGGGAAAAGTGGTATCAACGTGAAGCCTTTCCAGGTCTTCTTTTTTCAAAGATATTTTTGTTTAGTTAGCCATCTGCTTATTATCGTATTTTCAGATCAAGAACCACATGTGGGTGTTCGTTAATTCTTTGATTGAAAATCCCACTTTTGACTCACAAACGAAGGAAACCATGACTCTTCAGTCAAAAAGTTTTGGATCAAAGTGTGAGCTTTCAGAAAAATTTGTTGCAGCCGCTATGAAATGTGGCATAGTTGAGGCTGTAATGGCATGGGTTCGGTTTAAACAGCAGGAAAATCTCGATAAAAAATGTTCGAGCAAGAAGACGAGCAAGTTAAAGGTAGAATTTCTATGAAAAGTTGGCGATATTGTTTTTCTGAGCAGATTACTGTATTTGTTATGGGCATCTACGTTTAGGGCGTTCCAAAATTGGAAGATGCTAATGACGCAGGCACGAAGAATTCCGCTTTGTGTACGCTTATTCTTACGGAGGGGGATTCAGCAAAATCTCTGGCTGTTTCTGGCTTGGGTGTTGTTGGTCGCGATAAGTATGGCGTCTTCCCGTTACGTGGTAAAATGTTAAACGTGCGAGAAGGGAGCCATAAGCAGGTTTTTTTTTCCACATTGCTCTTGCATATTCATCGGAATAATAAAGATTCTTAAAGATAACGGAGAATGCTGAAATCAACGCTCTGATAAAAATCATTGGCCTGCAGTACCGCTTGAAATATGATAAAGATGAAGAAATGAAGACCCTTCGTTACGGAAAAGTTATGGTTATGGCTGATCAGGTTTGTGGATTTGAGTACTTTAATGCTTCTGAGATCTGTTGTGATTGAACGCCTGATTTACAGGATCAAGATGGCTCTCACATTAAAGGGCTGGTAATAAACTTTATCCATTATAACTGGCCAAATCTTATTCGTCGAAATTTTGTTGAAGAATTCATAACTCCCATAGTTAAGGTGAATTTATGTTTTCCTCTCGCTGCTTTTTTTTTGTGCCTATTTTATTGTAATGGATGATTCTACAGTACTAATTCTGATTTTTTTTAGGCAACCAAAGGGAAAGAGGAAAAATCATTCTTTTCTCTCCCAGAATATGCTGAATGGAGAAACAACACAGAGAACTGGAAATCGTACCGTATAAAATACTACAAAGGTACTTTATAGGTTTAATGAGCTCACAGCTGTATGCGAAATTAGAACGTTTTTTGATTTTTATTTAGCTGTTATTTTAGGTTTGGGTACTTCGACCTCTAAGGAAGCTAAGGAATATTTCACTGACATGGCTCGTCATAGAATTCGTTTTCGGTATTCGGGGGATGATGATGATAGTTCTATAGATATGGCGTTCAGCAAGAAAAAAATTGAAGATAGGAAAGCTTGGTTGACGAAATGGATGGCTGTGAGTGTTGACCTGTTACCTCTCCCTCTCTTTTCTTTCCTAACTTGCATCTTTGGTAAATTAAAGACAGGAACAAGGTTTGAGTGAGGAGGATTTGTATGACAAAGATCTTTTAGGAAAAAAAAGAAAGACGGGAACAAGGTTTGACTGAGGAGTATCTGTATGACAAAGATACTCGTGCAGTCTCATTCAAAGACTTTGTAAACAAAGAATTAGTGCTTTTCTCCAATGCAGATAACGAACGGTCCATACCTAGCTTAGTTGACGGCTTGAAGCCCGGTCAGAGGAAGGTATTTGTTTTACAAATTAATTTTTTTAGAGAGAAGTCAACCGAGTGAATCTTTATTATGCACAAAATTTAATACCATGCATATTGAACTGTTATATTAATTCAGGTGTTATTTACGTGCTTTAAACGTGCCGATAAGAAGGAGGTTAAAGTTGCTCAGCTAGCGGGTGCTGTGGGCGAAATGTCTGCGTACCATCATGGGGAAGTTAGTGATCAAAAAGCCTTTAATTTGACTATTTAAAATGTTAAGTTTGGCTCAAATAGGAGTTAAGAGGACGCTTTATAGAGAATGACGAGCTACGATATGGGATATTTTGCATGTATTGGGGCTGTTTATTCGTATTTACCAATTTTTTTGAGAAATGACATTTTGATACTGGGTAATTTGGTTGTAGCAATTATAGATTAATACTTAGTGTTTATTTATGAAGATGTTTTAGCAATCGTTAATGTCTACTATTGTTAATTTGGCTCAAGACTTTGTTGGGTCAAATAATATAAACCTCCTTTTGCCAATTGGTCAGTTTGGTACCCGTCTTCAAGGGGGAAAAGATAGCGCCAGCCCGCGTTACATATTTACTCAACTAAAGTATGCTGAAAAAGAACTTGTTTCAAACACAGTCTTCTGTGAAGAAATTTGTTTTCCTAAAGTCTTTTTTTTTTGTTTAACAAAGCTACCAGAAATTATTTTTTCGGCTGGTTGTTTAAGTCAGTAACAATAAGGGTTTCAGCCCCGTGGCTCGCGCTCTTTTCCCTCAAATTGATGAAAATGTTTTGAAGTTCCTGTTCGAGGAAAATCAACGGATTGAGCCTGAATGGTTACTTTTGAAATTTTTCTTTTTCTAGTACGTTAAGGCTTGGGAACTAAAGTACGGTTTTTTTTCGTATCTTATTTAACTTACAGGTACTGCCCGATTATACCAACTGTATTAGTCAATGGAGCTGAAGGAATTGGCACCGCGTGGTCCACAAAAGTACCCAACTATAATCCACGGGAAATAGTTGAGAATATAAGAAGATTAATACGCGGTGATGAACCAATACCCTTGGTTTGTGTATACTTGTTCTTCTTTTATATTGTTATTTTTTAATGTGTTCTCTGAAAGCGATGTACTGGATTTTAAATGTAGGTCCCATGGTTTAAAAATTTTCGCGGAACCATTGAGAAATTAGACGAGCAGCGTTTTGTCTGCAGTGGTGAAGTAGCAGTTTTAAATGACGATACTATTGAAATTACTGAGCTCCCAATTCGTACTTGGACCCAAACTTACAAAGAAAGCGTCTTAGAACCGTTTTTAGATGGTAATGAAAGGCAGCCCGCAATTATACAGTTAGGATTTTCACTCTGTTATATGAGAGGAATGCTCATTATTTTGTAACTAAAAATTCTTAAAATAGCTTTTGCCGTGTATAATTTATGCTTATAGAGACTTCAAAGAATACCATACTGACACGACGGTAAAATTTGTAGTGAAAATGAACCCGCAAAAGTTACGTGAAGCTGAAGGTGAAGGTTTGCACAAAGTATTTAAATTGCAAACAGCTATCAATACCACCTCAATGGTAAATGGATGCATCATTTTCTCATTATGGTTTTATATAGTCCTTTATTACGCCTTCGTAGCTGTTTAACTGGCTTAGCTGCAACCACCAATAAAAGCCTTTTTTTTTCAAATGTTTTTTAGGTTTTGTTTGACTCTATGGGCTGTTTACGAAAGTTTGCTACGGTGGAAGAAATTTGCAAAGAATTTTTTGAAACCAGGAAAAAAAAGTATATTGAAAGGAAGGCATTTCAAGAGGGAATGTTGCGTGCTCAGAGTGAACGGCTCACTAATCAGGTAAGCAAAATATCAGTTTGTGGATGGTTTT